ACCTGATCTTCAAGAAGGCCAATGGGTCCTTTTGTATACAGGGACATAGAAGATGTGTTAATTTCACTTCTGTTACTGTGATCAGACACCCGGACCAAAATCAACTTAAGGGTCAGGCTGTGGTAGTGCGAACCTTTAATCCCAGCACTTGGGAGGCAGAGGCAGGAGGATCTCTGTGAGTTTGAGGCCAGTGTGGTCTACAGAGTGAGTTCCAGAACAGGATCCAAAGCAAACTCTGTCTTGAAAAACCAGATCAAACCCAAACAAAACAACAAAGTTAACTTAAGGAGGAAAGGATTTTTTTGGGGGGGGAGGGGTGTGCTTACAATTCCAGGTCACACTCTTGTTGAGGAAGTCAAGGCAGGCCTGCTTTTATCTCACACAGCAGTACCTCCAACCAGGGAGCTCACTTCACAGCCAAGACGTTCACTAAGAACCATGGAGGGTACTGCTTGCTAGCTGGCTTATGCTCAGCTAGCTTTCTTACAGGGTTCAGGACCACTGCCTAGGTTTGGTATTGCCCATAGTGGACTTGGTTCTCCAATTGACAATCAAGACAGCCCGCCCCCCCAAGTCATGCCCCAGGCCATCTGTTCTAGGCAATTTCTCAATTGAGGCTTTCCTCTTAGATGACTTTAGGCTGTGTCAAGTTGAAAGTTAAAGCTAACTAGGATAGAAAGGTTGACAGCTGAGGGTCACAAAGCTGGGATGCCATCTAGGAGCAGACAGATCATTTCTCCTTCAGTGAAAACATGAAGATATGGTCTTGTAGATAATCCTCTTGAGCCTCCAAACAGAACTATCACCCTGGATGCTCTAGCGTACGGAGCCAGTGCACCATGAACCCTTGCCTCTGAGCCTTTGCACAGACTGCTTCTTTACTGACAACATCTTTCCCTCTGGGACCTGCTAAACATCCTTTAAGATCCAGCTCAGCCATCACTTTCTCCAAAAGCCTGTGCTGAGCTTCCAGCCTGGAGCAGGGTTTGGGAAGAAAAATATATTTCTCTCTCTCCTACTTCTGCCTGTCCCAGCCTGGCCTTGGGACTCTCTAATACTTGGGGATAACTCCCAATCTTTTTGCCTCCTAATCTCAAGTGCCAGAATGGGTGTGTGTATTATCTGGCCCAGCTATGTTTCTCTCTTTTTTTCTTAAAAATCTCACCTTTTTCTGAAGCTAGATTGCCCTCTTTTTTAACTATATGGCTTTGGTATGTCACTTACTCTTTGCACCCATTTCCTGGTCTGTAAAATAGGATAGCACCACACCCCCCTCAGTATTTTGTGATGATTAAATGCATTAATATGACGGAAGGAACAAGAAAAACATCAATTCTTTACACATGTGTTCAATAGAAGCTTCATATTGAAGGACTGGATTAATAATCCATACTCAGTGATTAATAATCCATACTGTTCTTGAATAGGACCCCAGTTTGCAGTCTAGCACCTACTTTGGGGAAGGTGCTCACAACCACCTCTAACTCCAGCTCCAGGGGGTCTGACGCCCCCTTTTGGCCTCATAGGGTATTGGCATTCATAACTACATAACCACACCAACACATAAACATAATTAAAAAATAGTCTGGCAGTGGTGGCACACACCTGTAACTCTAGTACTCAGGACGTAGAGGCAAATGGAGCTCTGTGAGTAGTTCCAGGCCAGCCTGGTCTACAAAGCAAGTTCCAGGACAGCCAGAACTGTTACACAGGGAAACCCTGTCTTGGAAACCAAATCAAACCCAAAACCAAAAGCCAAACCAAAACAAAACAAAAACCAAAATTCAAAACAAAACAAAACCCCCAATTAAACAAATGAACAAACAACTAAGCAAACAACAAAAAGAATTTTTAAAGACCAAAAATTAAAATATTGTTTTATATTACTGTACACTATATGTGTATCGTTTATAAGCAAATACACATATGTTGGAAGAATGTGTTTTAGAAGTGTGTTTTACTCCCAGAAGGTTTGGAGATCAGGTTCTGTAGCAAAGATGAAAGTAGACGTCTTTATCCTTGGAGCCTAATTCTGACCCAGGGAAAAAGATTCAGATAGGCATATGCAGATTGCTGCCAAACCAGACAGAACCCAAGGCAGAACTAGCCTGGGATTTGGCCTCTAGGGGATTTTTGTTTGTTTGTTTGTTTGTTTTTTCGAGACAGGGTTTCTCTGTGTAGCTTTGGAGCCTATCCTGGCATTCGCTCTGTAGATCAGGCTGGCTTCGAACTCACAGAGATCCGCCTGCCTCTGCCTCTTGAGTGATGGGATTAAAGGTGTGTGTTACCACTGCCTGGCAGGGATTTTTTTTTTAAGTTTTCCATTTTTGTAATAAAAATTCTAGGTTTTAATTAGACAAAGGCTAAGTAAGAGACAACATGCAGTTCTAGGCTGGATTTAGGGTGAGGGCTGCCCTCTTGTGGCCTATTGGTGTCTCTTTCTTTCTGTACTCCACCTCCGTTTCTGCTCTCCTGGACAGACCTGGATGAAGGTCTCACCCGACCCTGCAAAGCTGTCTTTCCACCACCAACACTCTCTCTGATATGTCATTCCCCGTACCCCTCCTTACTGTGCCAGCGCTTACTCCGAGTCCTCTTCTCCTTGCGGCCTCTTTCTTCCTCATGAAAGGTCAGGCAGACAGCAAGGAAACATTTGGAGTTTCAGGGCTTTGAATTTCAGCCTAGGCACTTACTGTGTATGTGATATTGAGCAGGCTAACTTATATCTCTAAGCCCCTACCACTTTCGTAAGTTGGGGTAACAATACCAACCTTATAGAGCTGCAGGGACAACTGAATAAGGTATGCCAATAATAACCAATTAATGCCAACACATTGCATACACGAAATCATGCGATATATTAAGAAGTAAGTCAGAATATAGTTTCTTTGTTTTCAGAGTATAGATTCTAGCAAAGGAGTTTGGAATGGGTTATTAAAACTAAGATGTAGAATTTCCCCCAAATGTAACGCTAGCTAACATAACGAGCCCTTCCTTTCCAAATGCTAGCTACTGCCAATTTGCCCAAGTTTCATAGCTCTCTCAATCAAAATAACAGCCAGTAGTCATTCAAATTTTCGAATGCTAGGAAGGCGATAGGCTCTTCACATTCTTTGCCAATCTCTTTCTCATGAGTCTGCAAAGTAAGATTTCACTATTATCATTCCCATCCTCCAGACAAGGAAACTGACGTGTTAGAAGTGTAGGGGAAACAGCTCAGTTGATAAGGTGCTTGCCACAGGATCAGTAAGGGTCTGAGGTCAGGTTCCCAGCATCCATATAAAAGCCATGAGTCTCAGTGCCATATGTAACACCAGTATTGGGGAATGAGTTGGGAGGCAAAGACAGGCAGATTCCCAGAACTCATGGGTTAGCTAACCTAGCTGAATCTTTGAGCTCCAGGTTCAGCGTCAGACCCCACCTTTAATTAACAGGGCAGAGAATGCGCTATGAAAGACACTCATATTGACCTCAGCCCCCACAAGCATGTGCACCTGCATGCACAGTGCACCTACCCACACAAACACACATGTACAAAAGAGGCGTTAGCACTTTGCCCAAGGTTTTGCCACTAGTGAGTGTCAAGGCATGCATCCTGCATTGAAAAATAGGTGGCTCGAATCCAGAATCCATGCTTTACCTACATGCTGTCTTTAATCTTCAAAACATCATGAGATGTAGGTTCTTCTCTGTCTCCTGAATTTTACTGTTGAAAAAAAAAAAGAGGACAAATGTGATGCAGTGTTTTTGTTTGTTTGTTTGTTTTGTTTTTTTGTGTTTTGCTTCACAGCTTGGAGGTATCAGAGTTGGGATTTGGATCTATGGGTGACTACAAACCCCACATTTCCAGCTTCCTATCAGATTTCTCAGACCTTAGAGTATTTACAGCAGTTATCTTAGTTAGAGGCACTATTACTATGATAAAACACCATGACCAAAGCAACTTGGGGAGGAAAGGGTTTATTTGGCTCACACTTCACTGAAGGAAGCTGGGACAGGAACTCAAACAGGGCAGAAACCTGGAGGCAGGAGCTGATGCAGAAACTATGGAGGGACCTGCTTAATGGCTTGCTCAGCCTGCTTTCTTATAAAAACCCAGAACCACCAGCCCAGGGGCGACCCCACCCACAATTGACTGAGCCCTTTCCCATAAGTCATTAATTAGGTAAATGTCCCACAGCCCATCTTAAGCAGACACTTTCTCAATGGAGCGTCCTTCCTCTCTGATGACTCTAGCTTGTGTCAGGTCAGCACAAAACTAGCCAGGGCAGTGGTCCTGAGCAGCCACAAACTATATTAAGATTATTCAGCAGCAGGGATTAACATGTTTCCAACACAGGAGGATTCAAGCTCGGAACAAACCGATTTACATAATAATGGCCAATATCTGCTACCCATTGTTGGATCCTGGCTCTGGGTTAGCAGTTCTAGGTTTAATGTTTCACTGACGCCTCACATAAACCTGTGACATGGTTGCTATTATTGTTCTTACAAGTGAAGACAGGAGGTTCTTCCAAAACATTCTGTAGTTTCCAACTTGTAGTTTCAACTGCCCAACTCTTTCCTGCCGAACAGAATGGTCATTTGTTCCAGGTTTGAAACCTAAGAGTAGTCACTCTCTTCTTTTTTACTATTTTTTTCCCTCTACTTTGTCCGGGAACATAGGGAACCTCGCTTCTTCAGTGAGCTCCACCCCTTCTAGTCCAGGCTCCGCCTACTAGGCGGTGCGGTCACCACAGAACCAATGGGAAGAGTTAGGACCATCTCAGGATTACGCCCCCAGGCATTGACCTGGCTAGATTTGTTCCGGTGCCAGAGCCTATGAGAAGATGACGTAGTCATTGGCTGACGTCACACGAGAGGCGGATGACAAGGGGGAGTTGCCAACCGGTGCTCGCGCGATGCACTTTGGGAGTTGTAGTCTCGGAGATCCGGTTCCCGGGCTGGCGGGGTCGGGACTCCTTGTCCCAGCATCCCCCGCAGGAGCCTGGGAGCACTTCCGCCCTGTTGTGAAGTGGGTGAGTCCGAGTGGCGAATGGGGTGCAGCTGAGACTCAGGCGCTGGGCTGGAGGCTTAGGAGATGGTGGTACCCTGGGGGGCCTGGGAAGGTGAGAGGGGAAAGTAGCGTGCTTGTGAGTGTGTGTATGTGTGTGTGTTTGTGTGTGTGGTGAGGGGCGGGCAGAGGATGCAGCGTCTGGAGATGGGTAGGGTCGCCGAGGTTGTCCGGACGAAGAAGACTGAGTTGCAGGGGTCGGCAGTGAGGTAGGTCTTTCAGAGGTCTGCAGGTGAGATGGAAGGGATGGATTTTTGCCGTGTAGGGAAGTCAGCTTAGGGTTTGGAGAGCCCAGGCAAGGGAGAGAGGATTCCAAGGGCCCTGGCAAAGAAGTGAAGAGGCCCTGAGCTGGATGTCCGATCTTACAATAGTGCTTCAGTCTCTACACCCAAGTTCATGCCGTCTGTAATGGGACTCGCTTTTGTGTTTATTCCCAAACCTGTACTTCTTTCCTCATGCTTGATGGCAGTGAAAGGCATCTTCATCTACTGACCTGCCCATGC